CACACTTCAAGTTTAACTTCAACTCTCGTAGTCAACTTCAGCTACAACTTGAACTAAAAAACATCTCGTTGTGGGGGGCCAAGAGCAGCGTTCCAACTTCTTGCCGCGTGCTGCTGCTAGCATCGCTGCTTCCGCTCCCCTCCTTTGTACCATTCATCGTGACCCGACAGCGTGAGGGGCGACCGGCGACCACATTTACTTCTCAGAACCGGCAGGAAAATCCGATGAGCGCAGAAGAAGGACACTCGGCGCCGGCGGAGGGGAAGGAGTGTATGGTGTGCATGGACGACATTGACATGGAAAAGTATGTGGAGTACCGCGTGGGCGCAGGTGAGCCTCTGTTGCAGTGACCACATCAATTGGGGTTCGCCTCAATTCTGGGTTTCGCTGTGTTGCGACAGGCACAGCTACGTTGGTGAGTCCCCGCCATGGTGGCGCATCCCTACAGACCGTGGCATCACAACACAAAATAAACTTAAACACGAGGATCTGGAACGGCGGGCACTCGTTTGCACACCATAGCGCGCGCGGGGGCAGGGTCGAGTCCTGCACAGGTGAAGGACCTCTGTCGAGACACAATTTTGAGGGTGTGAAGGTGGGGATCTGCAGCACAGCAGGTACACACATGAAAGGGTTTGCTCGTCCGCCGCATGGAGCGCGGTCGAATGCACTATGCTGCATAGTCTACGCAAGACAAGCACCTTCTCACCAGAAGGGGGTGTCGGCCGCGTGAGTACACACGCAGAACAGTTCTGCAATGAATTTCGAAGGGGTGATTTGACAGGGTTTCCAGCAAGCAGCGACCCGACCTTTCACCAGTTAGACACCTGTGCCCTGATGCTGTCCACGCTATCACCGCTACACCACGACAGGGGGGCCCTGGAAGCCGTGTGGATTCTGTGTGACGTGCGTCGAGACGCTGCTGGCGACGCAATGGCAGAAGTACGTGGATCAGCTGGCGAAGGCGTCGTGCAAGGCGGAGCAGAGGCGGCTGCTAGACAGGGGGCCACCCATCACTATATACGTGAGCGCGGACCTCGGATCTGAAAGGGTTACAGGCATGGCATGATAATATTCATACAGGTGCAACATCGTTACGCAGCAGTTTCATTCGCGCAAAGCTCCTGAGCTATGCACATTGTCTCGCTCCGCATATCCCATGGCAGTGGGTGCATGCCCACCGCTGGGGGGGTGGCAAGGACGATACCTTCAAAGGACTTGCACATTCAGTGCAGGTTGTCAACTTATTCTTTGTCACCCATGGCATTGCATTATTGTCAAATTCAGAGGTGCCATGCATCTGTTCACCCACCTTGGTTGTTTGTGGGGAGGGGGTAGTAAATGTAAATAAGCACTGCAGGCATCCATACTTTGTTGGCATGTGCGTACCTCCAGCACTTTGTAGTGGAGTGCAGTGTGCGCAATTTCCATTTTGCCATTACTTGGCTCCTACATTTGCAAGCTGCACTGAGCAGCAGCAAGCCTCTTACATCCCTCTCGGTCGCTGCAAGCGCAGAAGTGACAGCATCTGCTGTGAGTCTGACAATATGTGGTGCATTCTTTGCCACATCAAGCTGTTTGTAGTTCAGTGGGTGCACTCTCCATCACATCCTAACAACACCCATCAGAAAATAACATATGTACCTTGTGCGCTCCTGCTGCACCAGGACCGAAACGGCTTGCCATGTCCGGAGGGACAGGATGTAGACATGCTGTGGTATGGACGCGACAAGCAGGAGTACAGCGCCAAGCTGGCTGGAGCTCTAGAGGGGCAGGCGCGCCGCGACTGGTGGGACGAGAAGCTGCAGTTCAAGTTCGAAGAGGCCGATGACGACAGCGCACAGCAGAGCAAAGGATAAATGGGGGCGTCGAAGCATGTGACCATGTCTTTGTGTGCTCTTTGACTTGTGTTGAGAGCATCGGCTTCTCATGTTTGTTGGTGTGTGGCAATCTTTCAACACTGTCATGTGATGTACTTCAAGTAATACATTAGATGTATCCAGTGAATGCCTTGTTGGTCCATCATCATGCCCATTGCTAGTTCGGCACCTTGCTTACGCTCAGCATCACAAATGCCTGCAATGTTATGGTGTTGGTCGTTGAGCAATGACTTGAACACAACCTCTATGGGGCAGCCCCCCACGTCAATCGCTTGGCTTGCAACACGCGCTGTGCTGCATGCTGTGCTTTGTGCCTCTCATTGCTGACTATACACGTGGATGGCGGAGTGTGGCACCTAACAACATCCAGTGTGGTGCATGCAACATGCTCAGACTAGTGCGCCTCGTCTTTGCATACTCAGGATACACAGGTGCCTGCAGTGCGGCATTGGTGATGCTTGCCACTTATGCAGCAGCGCATTGACTTGAGCATATCCTTTGGCGGGCAGATCTGCAGATCTGTCTAGACACCAAGCGTTTGGCTATATATTATATTCCTACATATAAACACGTAACTTGTTTGGTTGAACAGAACGATACAAGGGATGCATCCGGATGGCATGCCCCAACTGCAACAGACGAAGTTCAACTTTGGGTAGGGTATGTAGCGACCGTGGCAACTGCGCCACACACGCCTGAGAGCTCTGGCAAGGCAGCTGCAGCGCAGATAGCCTGTGGTCGGACCTCATCCAATCTTCGTGCCCCATCTGGTGAGTCAATGATGTTTGTGTTTCTTGCACTTGCGTTTCCAACTAGAGCTTCGCTGCACTTTTGCGTTGCCTTACCTCATACACATGACGTGCAGTTGCGAACAGTAAAGCCTGATTCCCATTCACAAGTGTCTGATGTCCGCCTAATGATGTGAGCACAGACTCAGTGAAGGCTGCAATTGATGTTTGCACATCGGCGCGTCGGCGCCAAATATGCCACTTCGTCCTGCCATCGCCTCCGCAGACACCATGCCTACTCAGACACTCCCCGGTATCATCATCGTCGGCGCGGCGGTGGGGTTGGCCGGAGCCATCCTCGGAGGAGTGCACAGGCTGTCAACAGGAGAGTGGAGGATGAGTGGCAGGACCAAGTGGGACTTCGACTGTGCCAACAGGGACAAGCGCGTCAGAGCATGGCAAAAGCAGATAGATAAGCAGCTGGCAGACCAGGCGAAGGATCCGGCAGCAGCAGTAAAGGAATGGCGCTCAATGTGAATAGGGAGCTGGGTTGCAGGCGTTGTGGGGATGTAGCCAAGGTCAGACGCAATGTCATCACGTACAGGAGGCGCTGTCGTACTACCCTATCGCCCACGAGGATTATGAATAAAAGTGGGCCATGTTGCCCAAACTTGATTTGAATATGCACTGCATGCGCCCTTGGAGTTACGCGAGCATAGCTGATGTGCGTCATCTGGGTTTTGTGTGTTTGTTGTCAGCGCCATGAACCTGCCGTGTAGCAACACGCTGCGGTGGCCTCGTACACGATCTGCACGGTTCGATAGTGGCTGGATGTGGGCGCAAAGGCATTAATACACTGCTTGGGATGTACCGCGTTTTTTCCATGTACTACCAGGGGTAGCCCTTGTGACGGTCCAGGGGCATTGGCACATGAGAACAGTCAGCCAGCTGGCAAGCAGCACATCAGCGCATGTGCGTACCAGCAGCACCCATGTACATGCCTAGAACACACATTGCATGGGTCCTCCGAAGATACAAGCTCCCTGCAGGGTGGTGCCGGATCTCGATGTTGTTCTGAAGTGCAGCGCCCGTGCGAGGCATGCCACTGATGCACTCAGAGCCTCTGATGAGGATCGATGTCTGATTGATGGCACTTCAAAGCAGTGCGCGCTGCTCATGCGTGTGCCAGGGACAAATTTCAGATGTGCCATGCCGCGAGCTCTGATGTGCAATGCCATGAGCGTGGAGAGGTGCACCACACATGGGCGCGTCGTGCACGCCGGGCGTACCATGCACAGTGCCGCTACTCCCTGCGGCACCTGCAGAGCCGGCCATGCTCACAGATGGGGCTGAATGATTCCAGGCGCATGGGGGGTGCTATATGTGACTCCATGCATGACTCACTCGGTATACGCGAGCATGTGTACATCAGGATCTTCATAAATGGACATTGGAGCGAGTTCACAGCAAGGAGTTAGGGTTAGGGCTAGATTAGCGGTCATGTCCGCCACGCATGGCAACAGCATGGCATGCAAGCGAATCAGTTGTGCTTCCTCACAGGCAGGTGATGTGTACAGTGTAGTGCAGTTGGCGCGCGTGTAGGTCAGCGCAGCTCCAGCAGGCACTACGCGACAGGGGGGTCGACCACACAAAAAACGAACTGCTTTCATTAGACATCAAGCAGAACACTGGTAGCCTACACGAAAGCTTGACTTACCAACCAGCGCTGAGCAATTGCCCCGATCAGACTTGCGAAAAAGAATCTGATGACATTGACCCTGAACAAGTGCATAAGATTCGCTGTGAGGTGAACCATTGCATAACTCGCTGTGAGGCGTCCTGAAGGCCAATTCCTGTGGTAACGGTAACGGGGGAGCTTCCATTGTTGAGAAGGGCCCTGGGGCTTATGAGAACCATGAGAACCAAACAACATTGAAAGTGTCAAACCTTGAATCTGTTACAGCAAGACTTCTGTGCTACAATCCTGCCCTCACTGTGTTTGCATACATGCCATGATGCTTGGTATACTCGTCCTTGACGGATGAGCTCAAGGTGGGGCACCACCAGCTGTCAATCCGGCGCTTTGTCTCTCCATAAGCACAGTATGCATACGTCAGCGGCGCTATCACCGACGTCTTAATTTTTGGTGTTCCTCATTGCATACTGATTGCAACACTTTGATGATGACCAATCGATACACAACCAGTTGTTTCATAGCCTTGTAGCATGCAGGCGTCATCAGGCAAAGGGCATGGGCAGCAGCGCACCGTCGCAGGCATGCAGCAGGCAGGCATCCCCGCCGCCGTAGGCCACGGCGTCGGTTTATTCATGAGTTCCTTGCATCTAGCTTACATACTCTCGGACAGCATCGTGTCATCACTTGGATTATCATGCTTCGATAGCTCAGTTGGCAGTAGCGTGTGCTTCACATGCACAAGGTCGTGGGTTCAAGCCCCACTCGGAGTACTTTTTGTGTCCTCAAAGCACAGGGTGCTGCTCATCGAAGGCTTGCAAGTCAAAAGCAGATGCCTCGAGACTCTTGCCATTACACACGCAGAGCCACACTGGAATGTTAGCCACATGATGTGCACGCACCCTTCATGGCAGCCTCGTGCACCCATGTCCACCCGCCCTTCCCTCTGCCTCTTGTGTCAACATCTGATAATGGCAATGTGGGGCGCTGCAACAGAGAGCTGCAACGTGAAGCTCCGCGCGATAGAGGCGAGCGCACGTTAGGGCCAAGCCGTCACCCTCACTCACGCTAGAGTGCATGCCCTGCTGGCAAATTCAGTCGTGGAGTTTGTCAACTCCCTCACCATGCAGCCAGCAGCATCTGCCTCCCCCCCCTGAAAGCTGTGCTTTGAGCAACAACACGTCACCAAGAAGGCAGTTTTGTAACACTTTTGATCACAAGCGTGTAATTTAGTCCGTAGCCACAAATTCTTGACTTTGAATTCACTGGCACGTGTCGCAAAACTGCTGCGTGGTTGAGCGCCGTTGGGCACTGTCGCATCGTCATGCGATTTGACTAGGCTCGCAGGCGAGCGAGCCACGCATCAGTTCCGTTCTGCACCACTCGTTGTGAACCATGGAAGGTTCGTACCTGAAAACCAAGGGCATCACTCCGCGCAGCAGCACGGTTTCAAAGCCGCCGATCATACCACCTATGGCAACTCGGTAGCAGTGCCTTCACCAGTCGCGTCGGCGGCTGCATGTACACAAGCTACCACACTCCTTGGAAAGAGTCCAGCTTACAATTGATGCACCCTCCTGCTACCAGTGCTGCTGCCAATACTGTCTGCGCGACGGCGGCATGGCGCCAGTATTGCAAAGTTGCTATCGCTGCGTAGGGCGCGGCGCGGTGGGTTCAACACTCCAAAACCACGCTCCACAAGATCAACTTGATCTTGAAGTTTACAATCTCATGAAGTTGAGGCTAGTGTGAGAGGGCAGGCACTACACACGCTCCACAGTCTCAAAGTTGCTTGCAAACATGGCAGCAGCGACAGCAGCAGTAGTGGCAGAGGACCTGCCTCCGGGCGAGAAGATAGATGCTGCCCTCATAGCCGAGCCCTTCAGGGAAGAGGTCAAAACATATATCCAGGAGAAGCTGGGCGGCGTCGGGCCCAAAATGGTGGGCCTGCTGGCCAACAACGACCCTGCTGCCAAAAAATACGCTGACTGGACAGGGCGGGCCTGTGCTAGGGATGGTATTCGATATGAGGTGAGGCACGCCGCCGCTCTGACGTCGCATGTAAGGACAGGAACACCAGTCCAGTAGCTGCGGCTTGCGCTCCAGCTGACACACTGCACAATTGCTGTGGATATCCAACATATCGTAGGGTCTCGCGTCACTACTAAGACACGGCGATGAACATCAACGCACAGAAGTAGCAGTGACATGTTGCTGAGTCCCTGGGGTGGACTTGAGATTCACGTGGGCTGCTTCGCTGTGCGTCCCCCGGCAGGTACGGGAATGCACAAAGGAGGATCTGGAGACAAAATTGGAGGAGGCAAATGCGGACCCAGACGTGCACGGCATCATGGTGTACTACCCTGTGTTCGGTGCTTTCCCCAGCTTCTATGGCGGCACCATGGATGACTATCTCAGGGACAGCATTAGCCATGAAAAGGTAAGGCACATACTCTTACTGAAACTATAACGGGTGAAGTCATTAATGCTGCCTCCCTCCAGAATCTCACGTTGATGCAACTTCAACTTAAGTCTCCTGCAGCTTCAAGTGTTGACGTGAACACATGGTTGGTTCATGCTGTTGCTCGGCAGTCAGCCTGCACAAAAATCTATAGCTCACATGAGAGAAGAACACTTGCAACCAATGCAACTCTTATTCTGATTTATGGGAATGGTGTACAATAACAGCTCTCTATTGCAACGCGAGCACCACATGCGCTGTGCTGCAAACATGCACACACCAACATCATGCACCTGGTTGTAGGCTACAGGCTTCGAGGAATGCCCTACAATAAGAGCTCGCTGTTGCAACGTGAGCACCACATGAGTTGTGCGGCAACACAACACTACAAAATTACATAATGCCACCATTTGGCTCATGGTCCTCAGCCCAGCAATGAATATCAAAAGGCGCCCGCTACTTACGGAAGTCAATTGGCAGCTCACAAGTGCTGACTTGGTGACTTGGTTGTGCTCGCTGTGCATGAGCATGGTAGCATTGCACTGTGCACTGTACAGTACAGGAAGCGACTGTCTCATTGTGTATCATATCGCAAATCTTGAGTCATTTTCCCGGTTCTGAGCCACAGCAATTTGTTCGCCATCACAGCTCCTGTGCAGCTCCCCATGACCTAATTGAGTAATTCGTCGACCGCGATGACATAATTTGAGCACGCCCTATCTCAATCAAGCTTAAAAGTGAGCTCTGCTCCGATCATGTTCTAGGTCTTATCATGATCAACGCAGTGGCACCTTCACATAATGGGCCTTTCATTGTCACAATGGTAGGGTTTATCTCTCATGAGGTGTTGCAAGTGCGCCATGGTCATAGGGCCTCACAGCCACATCTTGACAGCGCACCGCCAGACGCAGCCCTGTCGATGAGTCAGCCAGACGAACATGCTTTGATGTGTCTGTGCGCATGGTGTTCAGAGTTTGCAGTGCAGTGGACCACACCATTGTGGATTGCACCAATGATGTACCTCCCCTTGTTTGTTTGCATGCGCAGCACCGCTGCTTCAACATTTGGCATATTTGCTCAGCGGTGCTTCAATGAAAAACGAATCGAATGATCGTTGAGCTCTAGGTGACAAGGGATGGTTAGCCGCAAGTGCCTTCCACCAATAACCGTGGTTGCCGCTGCTGCAGTCATTGGCCACGAGTCAAACAGTGCCACCATAACCACAATAGGCAAAAAGACTTCTGTGTGCAAGCTTTTGAGCACTCGAGGCATGGGTGTTCAGTATCAATACTCTGACTTATGACACATCCAAACGCAGTGCTGTAGAATCTTGTTTCAATGATACTTGCGGGCGAGGTTGTAACTGCGTATCATGCGCGCCGGGGCTCCCTGCAAGCTTCACGAGTCATACTTGCTAACGCCAATGCAGCACAAACTTCATCTCCCGGCTCACTTCACCACCCGCGCATTTCTGCATATGGCACCGGATCAAACCCGGGCACCACTTATCGGAGCACGAAAACGACACCATGCGTGCCCACGACACACACGCTCACCGCGCTGTGGCACCAGCGAACTGAGCGTTGCTGCCCCCCCCCCCCCGCAGGACGTGGAGGGCCTGTGCCACCTGTACCGGCGCAACCTCTACCGCAACGTGCGCTACGTGGACGCCGCGGAGACGCAGAAGTGCATCCTCCCGTGCACGCCGCTGTCGTGCGTCAAGATCCTCGAGCACCTCGCCGTGTACGACGCGGCGCTGCCCGTCGGCGCGCGCCTCGAGGGCAAGGTCGTCACCATCATCAACCGCTCGGAGATCGTGGGGCGCCCGCTCGCGGCGATGCTCGCGAACGACGGCGCGACCATCTACTCGATCGACATCGACTCGATCTACGAGTTCCGGCGCGGGCGCCTCGTGGTCGTGGACGAGACGGCGGAGGGCGCGATCCGCCGCTCGCACGCCGTCATCTGCGGCGTCCCGTCGCGTGACTACAAGCTCGTGACGGAGTGGGTGCAGCCGGGGACGGTCGTGGTGAACGTGTCGACGTTCAAGAACGTGCACGAGGAGGAGCTCCTGCAGGTGCCCGGCGTCAAGTACGTGCCCATGGTCGGCAAGGTGACCGTCGCGATGCTCGAGCGCAACCTGCTGCGCCTGCACGGCAACTTTGCCGCGGCGCGGCCGTCCGCCGCCAAGAAGGCCAAGCTCGACAACGGCGAGGCATGATGGCGGCGCCCCCTGGAGTGTCGTGCGCGCTAGCCGTTGTAGGGGCGCGCGGCGCGTCTAAGAAGCAGTGGGGGGGGGGGCTGCGGTAGGCAGTTTGTTGTGCTAGGGGGGCAGGATAGGCGTGTGCGTTTGTAGTGCGCACGGCGTGCGATCACAGACGGTAATCGGAAGTGCGCGTGCCGGCGTTCGCGCACACATCGGCTGTGATTCGCTGCTGACGCCTCTGTTCATGCTGGCTGTTGTCCGCTGCCTGCATGCTCACTGCAGCAACAAATGCTTGCTTGCACCACACCAAAATGGGTGCAATCTTTCCCTCATCAACATGTGTGCCTCTTTCCACACGCGCAATGAAGCTGCGGCTGGTACATTTCAGGAATTGCAACATGTTCTGAGGGGGGGGGGGGACTTGCTCAATACTGGTGTTGTCGGCACGACATGCAAATTTGCCCGATGACCCATCAAGGGCACATACACTGACACTGACAAAGCATCAGTCAACGTCTGATGCTGCCATGGTGTGTTTGGACCCTATGCTGATGTATGACCAAACTAAAACCACCAAATAACATGTCGGACATAAAGAGGTCAGAACTCAAGGGTCAGCGACAATCGGGACACAGTACGTGTCACATGACTGATGCACATGCGAAGCGCGTGATGAGTCAGGCAGGTTAGACTGCTGTTCATAAACAGCAGACGTGCCTGACGTGTATATTTTCAAAAAAACTGATGGAATGGTATTAGAAGTGGACTCGAAAGAGTCAGTTTCGCTGTGATGAGGGCGAATGATGCTGCTGCAGCCTATGGCAGTCACATCAGCACCGGCTCTTAACGCGCGCTCATGTCGTTGCACAACGAATATAGCCCCGCTTTGCTGAATAATGGTCAGGCACACCACAGCGGGTGTAAATGAACCCTGTAGTGTTGGTGAAGTTTAGCTTAGCATCGTCGAACCACACTCCTGCTGCTATTGCACCAGTGTCAATCGCCCATCACGCACAATGAGCGCTGCCAACATGCAGCAAGAGGAACACCGCAACGGCACTGCAGACCGCAGCGCATCACAGACTGCTGCCCCCCCGCCCCCCCCC